CTGATCCAGACCAAATTCGTGATCGGATCTGGCAGCTTCGTCTGTTGTTTGATTGGCTGGATCGTACTCAGCCTGGTGATGAACGCGACCATCTTTCGACTAGAGGGCTACTGTCCCCGACACAGGGTCAGCCATCTGGGCTGTGGTTGCGGAGAGACTTTGTTGAAGAAGCTCGATGGCAGGTTTGGGGTGTGCAGGTTGGAGATCTTGAGGGAGAGACTCAGATATAATTGTATTCGCATGAAGGAAAGAGATCAAGTTCCCCAATGCTATAAGTTCTATTTTTTTCTTTCTTCTTCAATATAAAATCCACAGAAGTTCATCTCCACAGGGGGGCTGATAACACAGTCGAGATCGTCCCGACCTCAGGAGGTTTGTGTTTTGGAGAGCTTTCTGGGTTCGGGTGAGGTTTTTGCATAGTTTCCATGTTTTATGTTCTATGATAGATGTTTACAGCTAGTAGTAGCCTTAAAATGTCGAATAGATAATCTGTACAGCCATTTGAAGTTCATATTGATAGTGAGTGGTATTGATATTGATAACAATATCAATCTAAACAGCTCCTATACCAGATGCAATACATGCAAGGTCGATCTAACTATATCCATGCAAGGGTGCAATCTGCATCAACGTCATAAAGCATCATACATTCTCTTTTCAATTCCAATTATCCATCATAACCTACAGCTTGGAGCTCCTTCCGCACCGCATCCTCGGTCTGGATCTTCTTCATCTGCGTATCTTCCAGCTTCTCCCCACCAGCAAGACGCATCTTAAGCTCATCAATAGCGCGGATCTTCTTCAACAGGCCACGGATCTTCTTATCCTGGGCAGAGGGGTCCTCAACAGGGGTGGGTGCAGCGACGGGGGCAGGAGCAGGAGGGGCAGACTTGGCCGCACCGTTTCCATTCGCAGCGCCAACATTCTTGCCGCGGTTGCGGTTGCGGTCTGGGCTAGGGCCAGTCGGGGCATTGGCAGGAGGAGCGTTATCAGTTCCATCTTCCTTGGCCTTCTTGGCGGCCTCGCGCTTCTTCTTGTTCTTCGCAGCGGACTTGGACAGGTTCTCGGAAGGCAGGGCGACACCACCGCCGGGCGCGGCTCCGGGAGGCAGGTACTCCTCCGCAGGCTCGGCACCAGGAATCTCACGGCGGCGGGGCTTGCCGAAAGTATTCATGCTAGCGCCGGGCACGCCATCGCGGACAAAGGCGGCACCGCCTTCGTCTTCACGCTTGAATGCGAGCGGGGTTAGCTGGCCACGGGCACCGGGGGGACGGTAGGCACCTGCTGGCTTGACGGGGGCCTTGCGCGTGCCCATGTAGGCAATGGCGGAAGGGTGGGGAGCAGGCACCTTGGTGAGCGGCTCGCCCAGCGGGTGCTGCTCGATGCTCTGGGGGCGCCAGGTGACGTCGTATAGCTCGGTCATATCCTCATTGTAGGTAAGACCACCGGTAACGTGCCAGATGCGCACACCGTTGTCGACGCGTAGGCGGGGGCTGGTCGTTGCGGTCAGGATGTACTGCCCATCGGGCGACCAGGCGCACACGCTGGCGTTGGAGGCCTCGACAGTGGTAATCTTGTGGTAGTTCTTGCCCATGTCATACAGGTCCATCTGTCCTGCCAGGTTACCGAAACCGGCAACCAGCACGAAGCGGCCATGGGGCGAGAACTGGATGGTGTTGCGCGGCGCAAGGGGGAAGTGGTGCTCGGGCTTACCACGGGAGCTGAAGATGGTCGTCTTGGCAGGCATGTAGCCATACACGACACCGAATTCCTTCGAGTTAGGGTTCCAGCTAACATCGTGAATAGGGCCCTCCTTATCTACTAATTGTCAGTTGAGTTCAAGTGGTAAAGCGAGGAAAGCGAGAAAACATACCAAGATCAATGCGCATGTCGAATGCACCGCTAGCACTCAGCAAGTACAGGGTCGTTTCGCCGTAGTAACTCTTGCCAGTGCGGTCGACCTCGGTCTGCGCAAGCACGATCAAAGTGGTTCCAGAGGCATTCCACTTCAGCTGAACCTTATCGCCCTTGAAGAAACTCTTATGGGACACGGGTGCATTGAACTGCGGTACAATGAACACCTTAACCTGGGCAGGCTGGCCCTTGCGCTCAGGAATGAACACGGCGATAGACTGAGTCTGACCAGGCGACAACGCAAAGTCTGTGACTCCTTCCACGCGCAACTTGTTCCAAACAGTGGACAGGTTGTCGCTCTGGTAAAACTGAACCTCGTTAGTCACGGTGCGGGCGCACAGCTTCTCATCGGCAGTGTACTGCAAGTTCCAACCGGTCTGCGACTTCTGGACAAAACTTCCCACAACCGTGTGATTGTCCCCGGCCTCAATGGAACGCCACACCTTCAAATTCTTGACGGCGTCTCCGTTCTCGTCCTTGGATGTGCGCTGCCAGGTAATCACGTAGGTGCCGAGTGGCGAGAATCCTAGCTCGAACACGTTCTCGGCGGGGATAGTACCAACGACAAGGCCCACGGAAGGGTCGATAATGGTGACCCTGTGTTGAGAGACAAATGTTAGATTTCGAACGTGAAAGTGGGGGAGAAAATCAACTTACTTTTCAGGTGACGCCCATGCGAAGTACCGGCCACACGGCGAGTAGCCGCTACAGCGGAGGTTGCCCTCTGGTCTAGCGGAGAACGAGTTAGCAAAATTTCCCTGATTGTTATCTAGCTCAATTCTTACTTCTCGAACCCAGAAAGGGGTTGGTAGACGGGGGCGGCATCCATGATGCTAATGCCCTTGAGCGTGCGGACTGTGCGACTATTAGCAAACATTCATCCATTCGCGTAACGAATGCGACCCGAAGGTCAAGAATTAAAAAACGGAACATGGAAAACACGTACAAGCAAGTTGCGTAGGAGCAGCCATCTTGATTTCGACTCGCGAGTCTAGAATGAATCCACCAAAAGAGAAATCGAATGCTTTTTCTTTTCGGAAACAGGTAAAATGGATTCTTCCAGGAAGAAATCACAAAGCGAACTTATACCAAAATAGCCACACAGCGAACCCGGTGAAATAATGGGAGTCGAACAAAGGGCTTTTCGAAGGTATTTTCTCTGATTGGGAATTCGTCGGGACGTTTCTGGGCAAGTGAAAACAGCAAGTCGGCGGAATAGAAGACTGCTAGACAAGTCAATGCCAGCAAAAAAGAGGTCGGGCGAAGCGAGGTAGTTGGGGAGGTTGAAGAGTGAAAGAAAGAAAATTCGGGTGCGATGTGGCTAGGCGGCATGCCGTCATCTGCGGTATACACGTTGTGCCGGGAATCCCAATATACATACACTTTCAACTTGAATTATAGCTTAAATATAACTATATATAGCTTTATAATATTCTATTTTATATGTCCAAATACTTATATATCTATAATAGTGTCTAGCTGTCTAGATTCTATGCGGAAAAGACAGGTGGCAACGGTCTTAGAGGGGGAAAGACACCCAATCAGGTACCGTAGACACCGAAATACTTGGACAATGCAAGTCTGAAACAGTTTCTCAGTTTATCATTACAGGTATAGTCATTGTTACTTTAAAAACAGATACAAAGAAAAAGAAGCAATCCATTTGAGCCATCAAACCACTTAAAAAAAAAAGAACGCCTTCGTAACCTCTTGAATCTACCAATGAACCAGACTCTAATCCCGGCCTGGAGAACCAAATCCACTGCTGTGACCAGGCGTGGTAACCAATCGTGGAGTTCTGGCAGTGGTATCAACAACATCCGAGTCAAAGGTCATACCATCAACCATGCGAGCATCTTCATTCATAGGTTCGGGAGTCATCGACCCAGCCGGGGACGACGACATCATGGAGCTCTCCCCGGCATGATGCTGTTGTTGCTGCAGATATGAAGCCAACTGATTTGGGCGGTTGACATTCGGACTGCCAATAGAGGTAGATCGTCCAGAAGACATGCGGTTCATTCCAGGGGGGCGAGAAATCGGCCCGCTGTAAGTACTGTTGGCGCCCTCGCCAAAACCGACTAGACTGGCATTGCCTTCGTCACTGACGTTACCGACACTGGAGGTGCCATCGTCTTCGTGATACTCGCTCATCTTGTCGGCATCGTATGTGTCGCTACTGCTCGCCCAGGTTGTGCGCCCAGCGACGCTACCCGTCGCACTGGCACTGCCGACTGTGCTGCGCTCCTTCAGTACTTGACTCTCAAAGTATCCTAGAGCATACGGCGGAAGCGCTTGGCCGGAAGATGTCTGACCACCGGCACGAGCAGTGGCAACTCGCTCAAGACCGGCTAGGCGGGAGATTCGATCTGCGCGCTCAGCCTCTAGGGTTGTAGAGGATGTGGAGGACTGATGCGCATGATGGCTGTGGGGGAATGGATGCCCCTGGTGACCGTCTTTGATCGCTGTTGTCGAGAGAGCAGAGAGCGAGGTAGTACCGGAGTTAGGGGTGCCTCTGAATTCCCCATTAATGTCAGTCAACTCTCCATGTATAGACACGGGGAATGCGGAATTAGAGCTCTTACGGTCCCATATCCGATGGAGTGACGGGGTCCGATGGGGGAGGAGGCAAATTGATCAGTGTTGGAGTAGACATGATGTGAAAATAGTGAAATGGGTAAGAATTCTCTGAGAGAGAGATATCAGGAAGAAAGAAGGAGAGACTGGGGGTAAATAATTAATTTGCCCCCACGTCATACCTCTCTCTAATCTCTTGGCCGACAATATACTAAGATTATTGCTTTACCTCTGATTTTTTTTTATATCTCAATCTAATTATAAGACATCTATCCTTTAAATTATCCAATTCAAAAATAGTATAAGAGTGATATTTAAAATCCTTTTAATACAAACTTGGACCTTTCGGACCTCCACTGTCGTCACTAAAACTGTCCCGCATTTTTCAAATTTCCCCCCCCATATTAAGGAGGTTATACTAGCAAATACTACGCCAAATTCATACATTCGTTCATTCATGTATACAATCGCCTATACTAAACATGTGGAGAAAACAGCCTGCTGCTCCTTCAATCAACTTTTCGATTCTCATAATGCCCTCGGAGATCATCCACCTCTTTCTGAAGTCTGGTGAGATCGGCCAGGATGTCATGAGCATTGGATGGTTGTGGGGCTGATGTATGGTTCTCCTTCAACCCCATCACATCACTACGGGTAATGGGGTCTCGAGTGCGCCGAGGTGGAGGAGGCGGGGGTGGTCCAGTAGAGCCACCCGGTACATTCCCATATGATGATGCCCGCCGCCCAGCCTTCAGTGATGATGGTCTGGAGTTAGTGTGGGGAGATAAGTTCAGCGAGATATCTCCCAACGGGCCAGTCCCCTGGAAGTCTCCCGATGGCGGAGGCATGCTGATTCTCTTGCTTTCCGTTCGACTGGAAGGACCTGGACTGGGAGGCAGAGAGTTATCATTGCTCTCCGAGTCGTAAGACATACTTAATCGACTGCTAGTTTTGGACTGTGTAGACTTGGATCTCCGCATCTGACTGTGCCGACGACTGAGGGGTGGCGTGGGAGGACGCTTATGCTGAGACTGGCTGCGCTGGAGCGAGTCCGTCGACCCTGTCACTCCCGCAGGGACCGAGAAATAATCGGTCGATGATAGAGATACCGAGCTGGGATGCAAGGCACCGGGTGTCACATTCCCAGGGCCATGGATTGATAGGCGGTTAGTAGACTGGGACCGGGCTGTCTGGGAGGATTCCGCGGCCGTAGAGCCAAGTCTGCGGCCGTGATGACTCCTAGGTGGAGGTGGCGGCTTCTTGTCTTTCACTCGGCCGGGAGGGCTTGCATCAAGCTCTGGGGACAACTGTACTGTGGGAAGTCCTGCATGGGAGCTGTCTACACCTGCTGCAGACCGCATGTTGTGGTCGGGTGATATGGGGGATCCATCTGTTGATGGGTGTGGAGCTGACCCAAAAGATGGTCGATCATCTTGGGGAGCTGGACTCTTATGACCATTGATTTCATCCTCGGTATCGCTCACAGACACATCGAATGGGTTTATCTCTTCGTTTGAGCTCGAGTCATCTATCTCGCGTTCAAGCGATGTCGACGACTTCCCGTAACGGTTCGGGGCTATAGGCTGCGACACAGCAAAACCTGTAGACAAATCGGGATTGCCTCGGAATCATCAGCATGTAATGATTCTCCCTGACTAAAAACAATACTCACCCCGTTTAACGCGAAAAGGATTTGATCCAGACATCGCCAGAATATATGGAAGAAGAAAGGAGGGGTGGTCCCGAGTTTATGTTCCTACCTCCGCTTTCCGTCGAGTCTCCGGTTACCCCGAGAGGCTTGAATTTTTGGAAAGCACATTGAATATCAAATTGGAAAATGTGTCCCATCTCCCTATTGTACATGGGAAAAAGGGTATGGTACAGAAACAATATAAAAAAAAATAAAAAAAACGCTCTCCAGAGAATACAAAGTTCCCCCCTCCAGTATGCCTCATTGCTTGTAAAATGATTAAAAAGACCCTCCCATATTCAACCGTCACCGCTCGTTATAGACATGCCATGTCTCTTCACCCTCGAAAAACTTATGTGCCAGGCGATTACCACTCTCCGTGGGCTGGCTGAATGCAATTTGTGCCTTGGTTATTTCCATCCCGTAAATAAAGTTGATGACCACGCAATCGAGGAGATCTAAAGCAATTCCCTTTCGCCGTGAGGATCCGGAAGTCCAGATACGAGAGACTCCGACAATGGCCGGACGGATTTCATCTCGTGTCGAGACAGAGCCATTGTGCGCGTCATTTTGTTCTTTCACCACCGGTCGGGATTCCCAGATGCGCTCAGTCAGGCAGAGCCCAACACAGCGACTATCCTTCATATGCAAAAAGACCCGATACCGATCTACTTTCTCGGTTGGACCATCCTGCAAGTGTTTTGGCGGTTCCGTTTGGCTCCAGAGGGTCTCGTCGTCGATTTCCGGTGATGAGAGCTCTTTATTAACAACCTCGAGAACCTTCTTCGCTTGGCTCTTGGCACTAGGGGAGGCCTTGCGGTCCACAATTACCACATACCCCTCATCGAATCGAGTCGCTTCGTAAACCCAGCGTGAGGCGTTCGCACGCATAAATGCCTTGCCCAGGTCGATCCCAGTCGCATTCATTTCGTGAAACTTTTTATGCAATGCCGCATCCTCCGTATTGGACGGGATATATTCCATACCACAGGTCGCACAGGTCTTTCGTGTATCATTTCCCAGGTCAATCTGCATCTGGCGCATGACGGGTTGTTTCTGACCCTTTTGCTTGGGTGGGTCCACTGATGCGCGTACACTATTCGAATTAACCTCTGTCAAGGGCGATCCAGTAGTAGTTTCCTTGTGCTTCCGCTTGAGAAAAGCAAATGTTGGCTTGCGGGTATTGGCTGGCGGTGGGGTTAAACGCGGAGGTGGCGATGATGGTGGTGTGGTGAGATCGTCAATATCATCGAGCGTGCCTTCCGACAACAGGGAGTTGCGACGCGATGGGCTTGACAGCACGGCAGCTGAAGATTCACGGATGGCATATTGTAGGTTGGCCTCAGCTTCATCGGACTCATCCACGCGTCTTTTCTTTGCGGCGCGCTCATCATCGTAGACGCGCCATGTTGGTCGTCCGTAAGTTTTCATAAGGCCTCTGAAGTTAAGATGTCAGTTGAAGTCCCAGAAATTGAATCCAGTATACATACCTCTTAAATGAATTGGTCACTGTCCACGGCATGACCCTGACTATTCCAAAATTTGCTCAGGGCAAGGTGGGATGAAGAAGTTGAGAAAGTCGAACTGGTGACGGCACGCGTGGGAACACTAGTCTGTTTTAGGTCATATTGTTTCGAAATGACTAACCGTTGACTTACCTGTACTTTTTGTTTTTTCTTTTTTCTTTTTTTTTTCTCCCTTACTTGAATGTTTTCTTTTTGTCTTTTTGGATTTGGGGAAGTTTCAAGTTGAAGGGGGAAAAAATAATATAGAAATGATCAACAGTTGGTGGAGAGCTGGATAATAATAAAATAGGAGAGACTATCGCCACCGGGATTATTACCGGACCAAGGAGAACAGAAGAAAGAAATCAGGAGATATGAAGATGTAAAGATGTAAAGATGTGAGGATGTGCAAGAGTATAACAAATAACCCAGCCTTGTCAAATTCCTGTGGTTGGTATGTTGTCGGGCACTTCTTTTTTATTATTATTTTCTCACCCCCTTTATCCTTTTCTAATATACAGCATACACAATTGGGCAATTGGCAAGACAGGCTCCAATCTCAAAATTCAACCAATAAGAATATCTTGTGGGTTAAGGATACCAAGTTGGGATATTAAAGATGACGCTTTCCTAAGCCCCTGGCCCTTTGCCAAGTGTGCAAGGCTTCCATCCAGTAAGGCCTTCCCCGTTGTGTAAGGGCAACCTTGGAAGGGAAGTATACGTTGGAATTGTGATGATCCTCATTGACCGCTCTAGTACTTCATTCAGCGCCTACAGACTACAGGTTACAGGTTCATTTTCATTTTGGGAGCGCTTGGGGCCAACATGAACTATTCCGTGCTGATTGGATCCAAGACACGAGATCTTCGATCTTGTTCAGTGATTGGCTTGGGGATCTTAGCCAAGTTACGAGGTCCCATATATGGTAGGCCTGATCCCCCAGATTTCACAAATATGGAGTGGCAACTAAGCGCTTGGCATGTCATCGTGTGCAAAGATGAGCATTTAGTGCTGAAGCCTACATGATATGCATCCCGGTCGCTGAACGGGCCGCGGGAGGTTCCAAATTGACAGTTGAAAACAACAGAGGAGTTGTTTTCTCTAAACTGTCTCAGGGATCACTAGAAAAGCTATATTCCTTGTCCAGGCCCCTCAGATTTGCTCTGGTGTCAAAAGTTTTCTTGTACCACCTTTGCTCTTCTGAACCATTCATGGCCTGCCTATATGTGATGACCCTTCTCATCTACTGGACAGAAGCCTGGTGTACGCTGCCCCCAAAAGGCAATGCTGGAGCATGAGCCAGTCGGATTTGTTTGTTCTGAGTCACCAACACAATTTGATGCAGAGAATGTTACACATCCTCATCTGGTCCACGGGTCTAGCCAAATCTTCACTGTTGATTTTGTACACTCCAAAGAGTGTCAAACTTGTCAGTCTATCAGTGTCTGGTCCATTGGTAGACAGTCTCCGTTTGGTACTATCTAAACAGGGGGGAGGGCTGGGATGTTTGACTTATCAAAAGAGAAGCCTTCATGTGGCTTTCCCTGACAGATTGTGGCTGGTTCAAACGCTGGAATTGTGCATTATACAGGCATGTACGGAGTATGACTGGGGTGTCGATCTCTCTGACGAAGAGCATTTGTTAAGTCCTCCAGGGCTGGCTAACCCCGTACGGAGTAGGGAACTTCCAATGTTGATAAAATATTCCATGACTATATGTATATATATATATATATATATGTATATGTATTTGTGTGTGTATGTATATGTGGATGGAGTTTTATTATTATATTATTTCTCTATTTCTATCTATTTAGATATATAGAAGTGTAAAGAATAAAAAGGTAGTCTACTGCAGAGAAGTGTTCTATATAATTCCACCCTCCGCTCTCTCCGTCCCCCGGGGCCACTTTTTTTTTTTTTTTTTTTAATTCTCTCCGAGTCCCCCGTTTTTTTTTTCTTTTTAACCCAAAAACTCTTCCAACTTCAACAACTTTTACCAAAATAAAAATATGTCGGACCAAGAACAAGCTGCTGGAAAGAGAAAGCGTGCGAGTAAGTATTTTGATTTACTTATATTCCTTGTTTATAGCAATTTTGTTATTCTGAGGGGTAGGAGGGGGGGTGGTTTTTCACTTCGAATATCAACCTGTTGAATGTGTTGCCCTTCCAGAATTCGATTTTGATTTGGCCGGTGTGACATATCAATTCTCTCCTCCCAGCCACATCAACTTTTTTCTCCCTCTCTCTCTCTACCCCCCCGCGCCTAAATTGCAAATTTCACTTGAAACTTCAAAATGTCTGACATTTCACTCCCAGGGACTCAATCTTGTCCTCCTCCGGAACTTCCCCAGCTCGTGGCCGAACAACATGTGCCAATTCCTTCCCATGACAAGGACACCCAACGCTTGATTGTGGTCCTCTCCAATGCCAGTTTGGAAACCTACAAGGCTGTCTCTAGTGGACGATCAGGTACCAAAGATGAGAAGTTCTCTCTGTTGAACAGCGATGAGCACATCGGTATTATGCGCAAAATGAACCGTGATATCAGTGAAGCCCGACCAGATATTACCCACCAGGTACGATTCAACATCGCCAGTGGCAATATAAAGGTCAAATAAGAATACCCACTAATCCACCCGTAGTGTCTCCTCACTCTTCTTGATTCCCCTGTGAATAAGGCCGGTCGGCTCCAAATTTTCATCCACACCGCCAAGGGTGTTTTGATCGAAGTTAACCCCTCCGTCCGCATTCCGAGAACATTCAAGCGGTTTGCCGGTCTGATGGTCCAGTTACTCCACCGACTCTCCATTCGTTCGACCAATTCACAGGAAAAGCTCTTGAAGGTTATTAAGAACCCGATCACCGACCACCTACCCCCTAACTGCCGCAAGGTGACAATGAGTTTCGAAGCACCCGTCGTCCGTACCAAGGACTACCTAGAGTCACTAAACCCGAATGAGAGTGTCGCCATCTTCGTCGGTGCCATGGCCAAGGGCCACGATGACTTTGCCGACTCCTTCAAGGATGATACCATCAGTATCAGCAACTACAGTCTTAGTGCCAGTGTGGCCTGCAGCAAGTTCTGCCATGCTGCTGAAGAGGTCTGGGATATCCTGTGAGGAACTCGACCGAAAAAAAAAAGAAGGAAAGAAATGGTGCCCAGAAAGCGCGCGTTCTTGTCGTCTATACTGACGGCACATTTGTCAGACTTTTTTTTTTTTAACGGGCAGAGATTGAGTTGCAGAACAAGGGTACTAGACATATGTCTGCATATGCCTGTCCTTGTTCGAATACCTTGGCTGTTAACCTAAGCCCAGCTCTCTCTGCCTTTCTATATATATCTCTCTCTCTGTTTTGTTTTGGGAATCCACTCGGAATACTGGATACTGGGACAGCTACCAAGCATCGGGATTCATCCCAGGCTGTCTGTGGGTGTTTAGAGAGCACTTCTTTTCCCCCTCAGCATAAGTTACGGGTCGGACGGCATTTGGTTCCTTTTCGCCAGTCCTTTGATCCATCTTGCTTCCATCCAGCTTCAACCTCGACTGCTGCGATGCGTAGACTAGAAAAAGTGAACAGCACATAGATCAGGATCCATTGATTTGGATTCTGAGACACATATCTTCAACTTCTGTGTTCAATAACAATATGGCTTTTTTATTTTTTTTACATATTTTCTCCATTTCTCTAAACTATTAATGTATTGGTTGACGTGGCATGCAATTATCGCCTCACTTTGAACGCAAATCGGATTGAGGGTGGCGATCCAAGATGCACTTCTGCCCGGCTTATATTTAGATATTTAGATATTTAGATATTGTAGATATTATATTTTGAATTCATAGAACCCTAAAAGTATCACTAACAACTTATACAACATATGAATATACTGTATGTTGTATGTTGTATGTTGTATGACTCAAAAACAAAAACCAGCGGTCAGCACATCTACCCAACCTTGGAAGTCCACAGTCTTCTCTTCTTCCTCCACTCGCAAGTCTACCATTTGCTCGCAGAAGAGGAACAGTAAGTAAAAAAGCCCACTTAACGTCTATAGGCTCCTGCACCTCGTTCAGGGAATTCAAAAGAGACGCCCCATCCGCCAACAGGAATGCACATTGGCTCCCCGCGATGACCTGGCAGGGACCCATCTGCAACCCCTCCAGCCATAGAGCGTTTCACTTTGCAGGGAATTGGGCCACTACCATATCCAAAAGCAGCCAGGAACAGAAACAGCCTTTTGGTCTGGCAATTTTGTACTATGTTACTGGAAGTTCGAGAAGTTCAGACCTCATTTTCTGTTCGAAGCATCGAGTACTTTGGGCCTTCAACGCGCCTCGTCCTCGGACTTGTTTCAACTGTGCAGATCGGGTATACTGGACATTTGATCTTTTGGCCAATCGTCTCTCCACTCCCCACTTGCCTGACTCCATACAGAAATCACACGTCCTCAGTGCCCACCAACCTACTATCGGAGACATACGGTGTTCTGGATGACCCCCTTTTGCTTGGGCAGGATTTTAGAAGCTGCTAGTTTATTCCGTCTCTGTTTTTGGTTTAGAGTCCTTCTTCATATTCTGACTGGCTCTTAGGGGACAATTCATGTGGCCTCATTTCCTGGCGTCATAGTTCTTATAGACTTGGATTCGCTCACCGTATATATCCTTCATATCGCATTTAATCTCTCTTCTTTTCTTCCCACTTCCTTCTTTTCACACCTTCTTTTTTTACTTTACGTGCTGGTAACCAGGCACGTCGGCTTCAACCTTTGAAATGCCCGTTTCGCATATCACCCTAACTGTCTCTCACCTCCCAACCTCTACCTCTTTCTTCTTATCATGTTTACAGCCATTGGGATATCAATTCATCGGGCGACATGACGACTATATAGGTTTCGGTCAGAAGCAGGGGGAACCTGCCGATTTCTGGATGACCGAGACTAAGCCTGGGTGAGTGATAACAAGGAAATATCCTATCTTTCAACAAAGCTAACTTGTATTAAAGATCTCCTCCT